GCCATCAAAAGAAACTTAACGACTTGAGATTGAAAAAATTCGTGGTCATGAAAAATTGGCACCTCCCTCAATCCCTATGCCACTTGCACGAAGAAACAACTCAGCCAAGAAAACGCGGTTATTAACAGTTTAATCTCATCCTGTCTGAGACAGGACATTATTTCCTTAGAAAAACTTTCACTGCAAAGTCTGTTGTGAAAATTGTTACAACTAGAAGATTCATATGGTCGCTGAAAAGGGTCATATGCACAAGTAACCATGGAAACCATTGGCGTAGTTTAAATATAATCTTAATATTAAATAACTGTCGGTTTATAAATAAATTTTGAATTAGTTTGTAGTTGTTAATCTTTCAAGCTCCACTATCAACATGCTATTTTACTGTTTTGCATTTCTTATTAGATTTCGTTTAAATGTTAATGTCAGAGAAATGTTATGATCCTTCGTTTTGTTCAATTCTCCCTACTTGCCTGTTTAATCTCGTTTTGATATTATTGGGAGAACCGACTGGTTGATCACATTTGGAGCTTGAAAGTTCAACAAGAAATTTTCGCTATTTCATTTCCAGAAGATCCTATTCACTTAAATACATCTCAATTCAACCCTAAACATTTTGATGTTTTCTCCGGGCTAGAAAATAACCGTGTTTTCGACTGCAAACTGCGTTGGTTTCACTCCTTAATATTCACTCGTATTTTCTTTCTGTCATTAAATGCTGTATAAAAATATTTAAAAACAATTCATGAAATATATTAAAACACCTCTCAAGGAATTAGTAAAATAAATAACCAAAACACTCATATATTAAAATTAAATTCACAATTTTTTTTCACTCTTAAATTCAAAGTCAGTTTCGTAAAAAATAACGCACTCTTCGCCAAACGTCAAACAATATGCTCGTGTCGGCGTGCTACCGACCATAAAATTTATCCGAATGTTTTATCCTCTTCTCTGGTTACGAAAACTGCAAATTATTTTTTTGCCTACTTTGACACAATTTTCAAAAACCCTTGACTGTAAGAATCTGCTAGGAATTTGAGCCGTAAAAATAGAATACCAATACCGCTTATTTCATTGTAAAACTTTTCTGTACATGAACTTAGATTCTGTTAGATTTCTAACCTGCTGGCGAGTTGCCAACGATTTAATTTTTATGTCGAAGGCGAGAAAATGTTTCATGCGGAATATTTTATCACAACGAGGATTAATTTACAAATGTCGATTTTTCTTTTTACAATCTGAACATATCATGTTCGAATAGAAATACATGTAAAATTAAATACTTCTATGAAATAAAAACCATCAGTGTCGACAGCACATTCAAAATATCAAAATCGTATATCGATTCTGAGAACATCACCTGTAAATCTGATATTGCATAGACTCTAGATTTAAACTGTTAAGGGTGCATAGCTCAGTATGCTATGAACAGTAAAAAGGTCACAGATTTTTACACAGAAAAATTATAGTATGTAAAAAAATTGAATCACACATTGGAAATTGTCTTCACCTTGTGTATGAAAAAGCTTATAGCATGACTTATGAAGTAAGAGCTATCATTGTTTGAACGCCGGCAATGGAGATTTGTGACTTGTGAACCAATATTGAATTCTGATAGATCGAATGTGGCGCGTTTACATCATAATTTTAAACTGAATTTCAGCTTCATACCCCATAAAAACGCTTTAAATCCATTGAATCATTTGATCGGAGGCAAGAACTGTCCTCCCTCCGTGACAGTCACTTCCTCCGTAGTTCTCTCTTCTGCAATATCCTTCTCTTTCACTACCCCGGACGAAATCGTCTTGGCAGTCGGTGCCACTGTCCCCTTGGGCTCAGTCCCAGTCTCCGGCTGTTGTTTGGTAACATTGTTGTTGTTGTCGTGTGGCGCAGTGTGCGTGGCGTCAGCTCCTATTGGCTGCAATCTTTCCCGCGTTCGCGCGCTTCGTTTGGTCCAGCCGCCCTCAACATGCGCTTTGCTGGGTTCCGCTATAATTGTGGTACTTCCTTTGGATATCGTCTCCGAAGAGTTGTGCGCATCCGCAGAAGCCTGGTGTCGGGACGTTAAGCGGGATGTCCCACGATGTCTTTGGCGTCCCTAGAAAAACGAAAAAGAAACATGTAGCATAACAGACAAAAGGTAGATAAAGCCGCCGGAAGTGAAAATGTTCGTTACGAAGTTGTGGTCTTGGATGGAACGTTAAGTTTCCAGAAAAGGCGTTCTTGCCTATTGTCCACGTGTCTTTGTAGAATATCAACGTAGTCTGGACGAATCCGTGGTCCGTTGTTTCGGCGTGCTGCTAATTTCGCCCACATTGTTGGACTTTACACCCGTTTTTTGTGACAAACTCAAAGACTGAAAGAATTGAACATGCTAAATCTGAATATAAAAAATCCAATTAATACAACAGAAATCCGCTGTTATCGCCAAATGGAAATAAAATGGTGGCCATTGAGGTTTTGCTTATGTCGGAGAACCCACAAACCAGGCTAGAACCCGGACAATCTCTCAAGTGATTTCTGGTACGGACTTATTCTTCTGCATCACACTAACGCTGTGTTCTTACCTCCTGTATCCACTCGTGGTGGAAGGCTTCATCAGGAGTCAGACGAGTTGCTGGATCCCAACTGAAAAAATAACGCGGAATACACTGCTCAGTGGAATTACTACAAAATTATTACAACCAATCGACTGACTGACCGAGTGAGCTTTTCTCCAACGAACTGCTAAATTCGCTCATAGCTCCGCATTCACGAGTTAAAAAGAAGAATTTAAAACTGCACTTGTGTAAGTTCCTCAATTTAGTCTTGGAGACAAAAGGTTTTTCAAGGGAATACACATGAGACTCACTCGAGGCAGCGATTGATAAAATCCACAAATAACGCGTCGTTTGTTTTCAGAGCTGCGCTGAGTTCTTTGCCGTTCACTTGACGCTTTCTTCCTTTTGAGTTTGTCATGCTGCGCGGGTTTCCTTTGGAATCTGTTTTAAAACATGAATTAATATACATCAATGAAAAATGAATAAATTCTCCAGGGGGAGAGATATAAATCTACAATGTTCTAACATCCCAAACAGAAAGTTTGGAGTACCAATGCTTTTACAAAAGAAAACAGTGGTTGGAACGCTCACCAACGAATGAATCATTACGCGAGCTTCACAATCTAACTCTGAAAATGTCATATACCAAAGATTGTCACTTTGGTTTAAGACGTCTACTTCTCCAAGGTTCAGAATGTTGTTCTTCGCATGAACATTCTTTCAGGAACAAATTTGCTGGCAAGACATTCAGCGGGAGAAAAGGACAAGCCATCTAGTAGTGTTACCTTACAGATCTAACACTTCTATTTACGACTGCAGTCACTTCGCGCTACAGAAACCCGAAATATTCAGTG